CGGCACTGGGAATGCTGAGGCAGGAGGATTACAGGGCGCCGGAGGCCAGCCCGGTACAGGCCCAATGCCAGGCCAGCCTGGGCTACAAAAGCCAAACCTTTTAAGCACTTTAGGAGGGACAGTGCCCAGGACACCGGAAGTTCTAGCCCGTTCTGCCTCGCTCCAAAGCGCACAACTGCTATGCCTTATGGGAGTTGTAGTCCGGGAGTGAGCCATGCCTTCTGGGCCGCCGGAGTGTGCTTGGGTTGAGTGTGCGCGGGTTTTCCAACTTCATTTAGTCCTAAGGTTGAGTGTCCGATTTTCTGCATCTGGAGATTAAAAGAGCTTTCAACCCTGTTGGAAACTTTATTTTTAAAAACTATTTTATTTATTATTTTTATTTTATGTGTATGAGTGTATTGCCTCCATGTAGTGAGTCCACCCGAATCGTGCAATGCCGTGAAGGTCGGAAGAAGGCTTCCTATTCCCCAGGAACTGGAGTTAAGGACGGTTAGTAGGTGCCATGTGGGTGCTGAGAATCGAACCCTGGTCCTCTGCTGCAAGAGCAGTCAGTGCTCTTAACCGCTGAGCCATCTCTCCAGCCCCTCCACCGTCTTTTTTTTTTTTTTTTTTTTTGAGATAGTCTCACTGAAGTGGAGCTCATCATTCTTGCTAGGCTGACTGGCTGGCCGTGGAGCTCCAGGGATCTGCCTGTCTCTGTACCCCAGAGATGAGGTTACAGACAGGTATCGCCATGCTCGGTGTGGAAGTGCTGTCAACGTGACTGAATCTAGAATCACCTGGAAGATGGGCCTGGACAAGCCTGTGGGAGGGAGATTATCTTGTCTGTTAGTTGAGGTGGGAAAACCTGCCCGCTGTGGTGGCAGCATTTCCCTCGGCTGGGATCCTACTGTATAGCTGGAGAAGTTGAGCTGAGCAGTTTGCTCTCGCTGTTTCGGGCTGCTGCTGCCTTGACTTCCCTGTCATGGCAGACTGTGCCTTAACCTGTGAGCCAGAATAAACCCTTGCTCCCTTAAGTTGCCTTTGTCAGGGCATTTTATCACAGAAACAGGAAAAGTAACTAAGACACCCAGATTTTATGTGGGTGCTGGGGATTTGAACTCAAATCATCTTGCTTTCACAGCAAGCTCTTACCCATTGTGCCATCTTTTTAGCATTTTTGGTTTCTTTTTACTGGCTGTATAGTTTTTCTACCATTGACATAATTTATTTTTTTCTACTGTCCTTCCCCCCATCAATAGACATTGTGGTTGTTCACAACTTTTTTTTTTTTTTCTGTTGCAGACAGTGCTGTCTTGTCTTTAACACACCCTGCTGTAAGCTTGTTTTCTTCATCTTTTTCTAAACATATAATGGACATTTCCATCTCTACATGGCAACTTGGGCATTTTGTTCCTGCCCCTTTTTCCATCTATTTTATGAGTGCTTCTATGAATTCCTATTTATTTTCTAAAGCAGCACAGTTTATCATTTCGTCATGTGATGTGCTCAAGTTTCATATCGATTGTGCCTGCGTTAGAATTGACACACGGATTATGCTTTCATTTCCCAAAGACGTAAGGCAGAGGTGGAGTGTTTTAGATACACTACACTGCAGATGTAACGGGCAGGATTGGAGTGAGAAACTACAGAGAGCCATTCTGAGGGCATTTCTCTGGGGGAAGGGCTGAATTTGCAGGCAGTTGGGCAGAGTTCTTGTGTCTCAAGTTCTGAATTCTGTGCTGTTGGAGCTCATCAGCCTGGTCTTGAGGTCTGGCAATCCTGTTCTTCCTCTCAATAGGATCATCCATCCATCCTTACTGGCATCCATTTTGTAGACAGATTTTGCTATGATGAACTGTTTCTGATGGGATAAACAGGGCTGTTGGATGCAGCAGTGATCCTGCTCCGAGCCCCGCCTGCTCTGAGGCTAGAATGGTCCAGGACAGCCATCTGCCCCAGAGCTATGTCTGCTGTATAGATTTGCAGTTAATCTACTGAGGTGTGAAGTTGGCTGATTAAGTCATAGGGATTCAAGGGATTTGGAGTAGAGTTAACTGGGAGAAATTTTTTTCCCTGTGGTGCTGGAGATTCAGCCCAGGCTACTAGTGAGCTCTTTATACCCATTTCCTTCTTTGTCAGTCCTAGAACTTCCAAAGATGAGAGAGAGAGAGAGAGAGAGAGAGAGAGAGAGAGAGAGAGAGGAAGAAGAGGAGGAGAGAGGAGAGAGAAAAAAGGAGAGAGAGGAGAGAAAGAGAGAGAAGAGAGGAGAGAGGAGAGAGAGAGAGAGAGAGAGAGAGAGAGAGAGAGAAAGAGAGAGAGAGAGAGAAATGACCAGGCCTGGTTGTACATGCCTTTGATCTCAGCACTCAGTGGTAGATGCAGGTGGATCTCTGTGAGTTTAAGGCCAGCCTAGTCTACATAGTGAGTTCCAGGCCAGTGGAGGTTACAGGGAGATCCTGTCTCAAAAAGACCAAAACAGAAGAAAACAAAAATAAAGTTAATTGGCTAGTAACATAGCCACATTGGAATATGAAACCTAACAACAAAGCCATGTAAGAATAACTCTGCTGGATGAAGTGGCTCTCACACAGAGGTCAGGGAACAAATTTTGGGGGTGGGTTCTCACCTTTTGCCTTGTTTTGAGGCAGGCTCTCTCTTGTTTCTGTCACCTCCCTCCCTGGCCTACTCCGTTTTGGGCTATTCTCTGTTCTCTTCCTGCTGACTCACTGTAGGAGTGCAGGAATTTCAGAGGCTTGCTGCTGCATCCAGCTTTTTACACCCAGTCTAGGTATACAAACAGGTCATCAGGCTTGCCTGGCAAATACTTTTACCCACTGAGCCATCTTCTTGGCTCTCTTCTCTCTCTGTCTCTCTGTCTCTGTCTCTCTGTCTCTCTCTCTCTTTCTTTTTTTGAGACAGGGTCCCCTTGTAGTCCCAGCTGGCCTGGAACTTCCCATGTAAGGGGGGCACAGGGAACTCGGGGCGCCAGCTGCTAGCATGGCGCCGGTCCCCTGCCCGCACCGGGAAGGCAGCGGTCCGGCAGCACATCTGCTCTGCGTTGCTGGCCGGCCCCTGCTTCTCAGCTGCTTCTCCGCTGTGAGTCCCTCTGCTACCGGGGCTGGCCCTGTCGAGTTCCACCCTAATTTCACCTGTGCACTTCCTAGAGATGCGAAATCCACCCACTGCTGGATCATGTGGGAAGGTGCAGGATGGCTAAAGCTAGGGTTCTGTGAGTCGTGGCTTACGAAGAAACAGCTTTCTCCAGAGAGACTGGATCATAGGCAATAAGACACGGGACTCAGCTTAGTCCGTGTTACAGCTCTTTATTCAGTGACTCAGCTCGGCTCCAAGTCTTAGTAATCCAGCTCCAGCTCCAGCTCCAGCTTCAGCTCCAATTATTGAGGGGAAACCAGGATATTTATACCATGGGGGTGGTAGTAAAAATCTTAGCTGATAGGTACTTTTAGGATGCACCATTTACATATGGCGGTAAGCTCCTGCCAGGCTGCCAGGCTGCCTGAAAATCACACAGGAAAAGCTGGCAGTTTCCAGAGCCGGAGGCCATGTTTCTGTGGCGGCTACTTCAAAAAGACAAATCAGGAAGATGCCAGGAAAGCACCCTGCTGAAAAAGGAGTCTCTGCATTTGAGCCGAGCCCATGGGCTATCTGGACATGGAGAAACTGCTACTTTACACAGCAGGAGTCCCCAACACCCATGTAGACCTCATGGATTGGCCTCAATCTCACAGAGATCCACTTGCCTCTGCCCCCTGAGTGCTGGGATTAATGGTGTGCACCACCACACCCGGAATATATGTATTATTTTATTTTTATGTGTATGAGTGTTTTGCCTGCATGTATGTAAGAGCACCTGTGTCCTGTCTTGCAATGCCTGTGGAGGACAGAAGAGGCCGTTGGATCCCCTGGAAGTGGAGTGATGGATGGTTGTTCGTCACTATGTGGGTGCTGGGAATTGAACCCAGGTCCTCTGCAAGAGCAGCCATTACTCTTAACCACTGAGCCATCTTTCCATCCCTTTATTTTTATTTTTATTTTTTTGAGACAGCATCTTCCTGTAGCCCAGCTGTCCTGGAACTTACTAAGTAGACCAGGCTAGCTTTGAACTCACAGAGATTTGCCTGCTTCTGCCTCCCAAGTGCTGGGAGTAAGGCATGTACCACCATGCCTGGCTCTTTCCATCCCTTTAAAAGTTTTTAAAAAATTTATAATCTCAGGTCAGGTGTGGTGATGCATGCCTTTAATCCCAGCATTTAGAGGCAGGCAAATTTCTGTGAGATAAAGGCCAGCCTGGTCTACAATCTCAAAAAAAAAAAAAAAAATGTAATCTCTTTCTCTCCCCCTAGCTTCTCCCTTTCTTTCCTCCCTCTCCCCTCACCTAGGCATGACAGGTGGTACTCAAGCACCCGACACAAACCCTTAAGATTAGAGAATATTTTAACACTTAGAAGAAAAGTACCCACTATTCATATTTAACACAGCTGAAAAATTTGCTGCATTGATTCACATTTTCTTCTTAAAAATTTTTTTTTTTTTACATTTATTTAGTGGGGTGTGTGTGTGTGTGTGTGTGTGTGTGTGTGTGTGCATTTATTTAGTGGTGTGTGTGTGTGTGTGTGTGTGTGTGTGTGCGCGCGCGCGCTACTGTACACACATGGAGGTCTGAGGACAACCTGGGGCAGTCGGTTCTCTCTTTCCACTATGTGGGACCCTGGGGATTGAACTCAGATCCTCGGGCTTGGGGGCAAACAAGTGCCTTTACCCACTGAGTCATCTCACTCGGCCCTTTTCTTCTGGAGAGAGCGAGAGCGAGGGCGGGAGCGAGGGTGGGAGGAAGGGAGGATAAAAAAATATAAGTAATGAGATGACTACATTGAGGAGTTTGTAAAAACAGTGCATCAACCAATAGGAGCTCAGAGCAGCTTCAAAACCCAAACTACAGATCCCAGCAGCCCCTCCCCGCATGGTCAGTCTCTCCTGGGTAAGAGCCAATGAGAGGCTATGTTTGCAAAGGTCTAGGTTGACATCTGTGTGTCCGCTAGAAGAGCAGGGAAAGCCTCCTGCAAGTCCAGGCGCAAAGTCCTCTGTCGCTGCTGGAAGCTGACGCCTGGATGGATGCGATCCTGAATTATAGGTGGGAGGACTGCGAGGACTTCTACACCCTGCTGGGATGCGACGAGCTGTCCTCGGTAAGGCTGCAGGTTCACAGCAGCATCGCACGCTTCTCAGCGGCCAGCTTTCAACTTCAGCCAGACCGCCTGAAACTAATCTTGTATCATTTTAAAGCACTTTCGGCCCAAAGAGAGTTAAGGATTTAAATGCATGATGGTTAATTTGAATAACTGCCTGCGAACTGTAAAGTATTAAATGTAGAGACAGGTAGGCAGTTCCCATTTGTTTCAGAAAAGCAGTCAAAGGCAGTGATTGATTTATTATTCAGCAAACAGAGCTTCTGTCTGTAGTTGCCTTGTTCAGCAAGAGTACTTAATACCTTTTCTCTTCATGTATTTGGAAAATATAATTAAAGAAACAGCGATTTGGATTGTAATTATTATAGGGACCTTTAGCACTGTGATTGTCATCAGATTTATTGTCTGCAGAATGAATACAAAAGAATGCAGTCGTGGGTTGTTATAGCTATGACGTCAGTTTAAGATTACAAGGCACTTTGCTGAAAGTACGTTGATATTCAGATAACTGTTGTGGAAATATGCCATTATAGACGATATGGCATATGTAGGCTATATATTATCTATACAGTCTGTTAGCTGACCTATGAGGTAGATGTGCCCCTATGACATGAGATCACTGGAATCAAGTTAGATGCAATATCTCACGAGATTTTCTTTTCCTTTTCTAGAAATGATCTGTTTTCCTTAGATATCATTAGATATCATGTAATTGAGACAAATGTATTATTTGCCATATTACCATGTGACCTATGGTAACCCTCTATAGGAATTAAAGACTGTCACATTAAATAAAGGAAGCTTCTAGAAAAAAAATATGTACTTGAATAGTGGGCTCTGGCAATAATCTGAGAGCCTCTCACTGAACTGTATGTGTTTTGTGGTAAATTGTCAGTTCTGTTTCATAATAGGCTAAAAACACATATTTGACATTTTAATGTAATCATTGAAGATAGTTTTTTTTTTTTTTTTTTTTTTTTTTTTTTTTTTTTTGTATTTTTGAGACGGATCTCCCTGTAGCCCCAGTTGGCCAGGAACTAGCTATGTAGACCAGTCTGGCCTTGAACTCATAGAGCTCTGCCAGCCTCTGCCTCCTGAGTGCTGGGATTAAACGCATGCAACACTGCATCCATTGAAGGTAGTGTTTTTTTATTATGATAATCCATACTGCGTTTTAGATATTTTTTAAAATAAATTAGTGATTTTAAAGTATTTTGTTAAAATGGGCTGGGCATGGTGGCACATGCCGTTATACCAGTGCTGGGTTCAAAGGCATGTGCCATCATGCCTAGCTTCTAACCAGTCATGTTTTCATTAGTTATCATTTAATTAGTGATTTAGGAGGATCACTTATTTCATAGCCAGTGCTAATATCTGGACTTTAGTGAGAAAAATCCAGTTTCAAAATGAGTAAATTAAAATAATGGATACTTATTAAAATGATTCTTCTCACGACTGGATGGAGTGGCACACACCTTTAATCCCAGCAGAGGCAGGTGAATCTCTGTGAGATGGAGGTCAGCCTTGTTCAGAAAGCTATTATATGACAGTGATGTTGCTGTAATCCCGTACTTATCGAACACTTGCTGTTGGACTAGTACTAGAGGTAATGCAAGGGTAGGAAACAAAGTAAAAGAAAATAAAGCAAACAGGTGAGACATGGTACCAGTGTGTAGAGAATGTGACATCTAGTCGAGGAGCCAAAGCTACTATGCAGGAAAAAAAAATGAGAAAAGTTAAGTACTGTGTTCTGTGGTACCATCTATAAACAACACAGGAAATAAAGAATTTTTGAAATACATTTGGAGAAGAGATGGACATAATTCATAATTTGCATATGGAGGGAGAGACAGAGGGCATTTGTGTGGCTAGGGAAGGTTGGCAAAGATGAATCTAAGTGGAAATCAGGTAAGTTCCCTTGACACACTTCCCTGCATAACAAGGTGTGGAAAAGTGTTTTGAGTTGTAAAGTTTCAGTTCTAGAGCTGGGCATGTAGCTCAGTTGGTAGAGTGCTGCTCTCGCCCTGGCTTGAGCCCCTCTACTGCATAGAACCAGGTGTGATGGTGCAGGTCTGGAATCCCGGTACCGGGAAGGTGGAGGCAGAAGGATCAGGAGTTTAAGTCATCCACAGCTACATAGGCCACATGTAGCCAGTTTGAGACCAGCCTGGGCAGTATGAGACCCTCTCTCTTATAAAAAATTGGGTCTAAAACTGATACATGCTCACTAAGGAAACGTGTGGAGTATAAAAAAAAAAGCAAAAAGAAAAATGTTTACTATTTTATAATATGACTTATGTATGTTAACTAC